CGGCCGCACGCGCTATCTCGCTGGCGTTCTTCGCTGCTGCTTCCATGCTGAGGCAAGAACGGGTGTTCTGCGAACCAGAACATACAGAGTGAAGTACCAGGAAATTGATACAGTGTGCACTGCTTGTGGAGAGGAGGACGAGACGGCTGAGCACTTGATACTCTACTGTAAAGGGCTTCACCCTATGCCTACCGAAGACAACATAGATTTAATAAAGTCATTGGGTTTTAGAGACAGCGAAGGGAGAGTGGATTTCAAGACTGTAGAGATTACCAAGCAAAGATTAAGTGAATGGTGGCAGAAATCGAGAGAAAACTAGGTATTTACTTATTCACTGATGGCAAGGGGGTTTCATAGCCTCACTTTCTTTGCACTGCGGAGTGAATATAGATTTCACATTTAAATATTCTAAGCTTAAATGGTAAAACAAAATGGCTAGGTGGCGTAAGCTACCGCCCGATCCAAAGGGCTCAGCCGTATTCATCCATCCATCCATCCATCCATCGCCAGCGCTGCCTTCACCGCGTCGTCCAGCGAGGGGTCGGGGAGCTCCAGGAGTCGCGTCTGCATGGCAGGGTTGTTGATGCCGCAGACGAACCGGTCCCGGAGTAGCGAGTCCAACTGGTCGCCGAAAGCGCAGGTGCTCGCTAACCCTCGTAGCGCAGCGACGAACTGTCTGAGGGTCTCCCCGTCCGGGCGGCTCCGGTTGTTGAAGCGGAACCGCTCCATGAGCGTGGACGGCGCCGGGCTGAAGTGCGAGCGCAGCGTAGCGAGCAGCTCACCCAGCGTTTTGACGTGCGGCGTGGCCGGCTTGAGGAGGTCGAGCAGGAGGCTAAAGACACGGGTCCCGCAGCTGGCCAAGAAGATGTCCCGCTGTTTCGCCTCAAGCGTGTCGTTCGCCCGGAAGAACACTTGGACCTGTTCTTCGTAGACTGGCCAGGCGGACCCATCTCCCTCGAACGGCTCGAGCCTCCCGTAGAGCGGCATGGCGACAGGAGCGGGGCGCGGTGTTGCGACTCTCTCGGCGGCGTGGGCCGAACCGTGCACGTTGGTGGCCTCCAGTGCCACGGTTCCTCGTCGCCAGTGTCACGATCTTTCTCGAACGTGGACAAAGGGGGCCGAAGCACCCGCCGAGGAGAGACGACACGCAGCCTGGTTGTGAGGGTGGACGATGATTGGCCGGAGCACGTGCGCTCAACGGCGTTCATTGGCGCGGTGAACAATGTTGCCCGCCGAGCCAGGCGGCCGCAGACGGGCGGACTGGAGGGGGCGCCACTAACTTGTCACAGCCACCACACATAAATCTTATTCTCCCAAAAAGTGCTTTGAGGTGGTTGCTGTTTGACTTCCTTGTCGGGACGAAGTTGGCACCTTTTGCTAAAAGGAACTTTGTTGTCTCGACAGCTGACTTCGTGCTAAAAAGCAAGGCTTGGAAGGTCTCATTTGTGAAAGCATTCATTCCTGAAGCCACGAGTGTTTCCTGGATGCTCTTCACACATAGCATGAAAGCTCGTTTTCAAGCCACACCAGTCGAGGGTCGTCCTTCATTGAGATGGGTCTTTTTTGTGCACTCCCTGTGTAGGTCGTGTCATGAATGTCAAACCATTCCTTCATTGTCTTCATGAAACGTGTGGTAGGGCGGTGATCCTGCTCTTTATTTTTTCTTTGAAAACATAAAGAGCAGGATCACTGTTTGATTTTTTTTGAAGGTGTTCTAAGGCTGAAAATACTTGTGGGGATAATATTTGCACAGCATGAAGCACATTCATCTTTTCTAGTTTTGTGGGGTAGACATGCTTCCTTGTTAAATTCCGTGCCAGTTTCATGATTAATCATGATGATTTGGTTTGGTCCAGAGCTTTTCACGGAAGGACATCTCTGCAGTTCTAGAATATAAAAGTAGCTGAAAAAAAATTTCAGACCACTCACTAGATCTGTAAAGTAAGCGGGGTCAGAGGGATCCGAAAGCTCAACTGGAGAAACGTCACTGTAAACATGGAGTGAAGCTGAAGACACCTTTGTTACACCCATCTGCCTTTACACTTGTACAAAGAATTTGCTGTTTCATACTCCATTGTCCATTTCTTTTTTAGTGAAGTTCTGACGTCGCAAGGACATTTAATCTCCGAAATACTGACTCTGCAGCAGTTGTACTTAATCAAGGCATCTGGTGTTGCTCCAGTGAAAGGGAACAAAGTTGAGCTGAGAAAACTTCTTTATTTAATGTCATACATGACTGTTCTTGCTTTAAAGCATCTTCAGTGGCAAAAAAAAAAAAATACACAAAGTTGCACCTGAGAGTGGCTGACGGCTGTTTCACAATGCAGTGCTACAAAACGTTGCAAAGCGTTTTGTAGCAATTACTGAAGGGAGTTCGCAGTCACCGATGGCCATCGGGACAAGAGCCCCGCTGGTCCGCCGTCCTCGTAAATGCTGCAGAGCTGATTCCATTGGAGCCGCACCGTAGGCGGTGGCTTGTCCTGTGGGATCACCCAGTCCTCAAAGGTGTTAGGTTGGAAATGAGCGCCAAAGGAACGGGGACAGGTGAAGAAGTGGACGACAACACGGGGCGCGCTCGCAACAGAACGTTTATTAGAAAACACAGATGCCTAAATACCTAAAATACAACATTGTCACTTCCAGCCCCAGGATGATTGTGTTTGACAACTTTGAGGTGCACGGGCGTCGATCACAATGCACGGCGTCTGTTAGATAGTTGCCGCGTGCTCCCTTGCACAATCATTAATGCAGCGGCCTGTTGGCTTTACATACGAGCTCCCACAGAATAGTGGTATATCGTAGACGACAGATGTTTTACAATCCACAAACTTCGTTTGGTGTTTCTTTTTGCATTCCTCACTAGCCTTTCCGGGGCATTTATCCTTCTGCACAAGGCCGAGGGTTTCTTCGGGGCCGAAAAAACAACCGGAACATTGTAACGCTTCACGACATTTTTTAAGTTGTGGGAGATAGCGTGAACGTAAGGAATGATAGCCGGTCTGGTTTTTTTGCCGTTCACGGGCGTTTAGGCGAACACCTCTATATTTCCTTTTCAGGCTGTCCGCTGCGTCAGTCAGAGGTTTCCGCGGAAAACCTACGCTTTCTAGATGATCCACCTGTAACAGGAAGCTCCTGCCCATTTCATGATGACAGGATTTGGCCAATGCAGCTCCGAGAAAGGACTGGGCGGTACCTCGTTTTACCAGTTTGGAATGTGCGGAGTCGTAGGGGAGTGCATCCTTCTTAGAGCGGGGTTCATAAGCCCAGCAAATGTGGTCTTCTAGAAACATAAGTTTCAAATCTAGAAACTGCAAAGACCCTTCCAATGTTCTTTCATGGGTAAACCTCACCCCATGGGAGCAGGCCGCAAAAACTTCCATTAAATCAACTGCAACAATATCAGTAAGCTCCTTATGTGCGAGGACAATGACGAGGTAATCATAGACATACCTAAAAATTCTAATATCGTCTTTATTCCCAAGTCTTTCAGCTATAGCTTGGGTCACAGAGTATTAAAACAATATCACACAAGACGGGGGCCACTTGCAAACCAATGCAAATGCCCTGTTTTTGCACATCACATCACCATCAAAAGACACAAAGGTATGTTCAAGATAGAAAGACAGGAGTCCAATGAATCTCCACACTCATACCACAGGAGCTCCCGAAAGCCGTTTCTCCATTCTTGTCGATGCATTTGGTTACAGCTGTAAAATGGGCTTGATGCGGGACAAAGTAAAAAATATCTTCAACATCAATTGAAAAGGCATCACACTTCCCTCTAGACCAACCCCTCAGGAAGTCAATCACCTCATCTGAGCTGCGGACTAGGAACTCATCATGCAGTTTCAATGACGAAAGGTGCATTATAAGAAAGATGGAAAACTGGTACTGACACGAGTCTCTCTCTGTAACTATCGCCCTAAAAGGGACGTCCCTTTTAATGCGTCTTAGTCACGAAAAAAATGTCCAGGGACAGCTTATTACTAGTGTTCACCTTCCTCGCTAAAACAGGAAGGTCTAATTCACAGCATAATTTCTTTGCCCTCGACTTCACCCTGTTCAGAGATCCTGGCTTCACTGGCTTGAAGTTCTTGTCAACAGGTTCCTTGGCTTTTTTGCTGTACAGTTCATGGGGCAGGACGACAAATCCCCCTTCCTTGTCCGAGGTTAGTAGCTTGAGGTTGGCGCACTTGAAGTGGGCAACGATGGCCCCCATCTTCAGGCTTTTTGGGCGTTGGCCAGCGGTGCGGCAGAGCGCATCATACGTAAATAACTTTTTAAATATTTAAAAAAAAATATTTCACTCTAAATATGGCCCTTGCACGCAATTATATGGTGCACCTAAGCATGCTTTAAAAGAGCCGTCAATAATGGCTCGCTTTAGGTTACGACTCCGCTTGCGTTCGGTCACTTTCTGTTAGCTTGAGAATCGCCACCTTCTTTTATAGCGTTGCAGTTGAGTACTTTTCGCACTTCTTAGCGGCCGTTCGCAACTGCGGAAGAACAGACAGGGCCACGACCGAACCAGCATAGTCCGAAAACCCGATTCACCAAGACGAGATGAAAAGCACAATCTTTACTTTAAAATGGTATTAGTGGGTGCCAAATTTTACTGCTTAGGTTAGTGTTCCAAATGAGCACTTCTCACGCCCTAGTAGTTTTGATGACAGCCTTTGGATTCTAGGAGGAAAATGAAGCAATCCGGTCGTGCGACTCAAATCAAATTTGGGGGTTTTACGTGCCAAACCAACGACGGGCATCTGGCACGCCCCAGCGGAGGACCGAGGATTAATTTCGACCACCTGGGGATCTTTTGACGTGCAATCGAAAGCTCGATTACCAAGCTGCCTTCTCCGCAATATACCTCCATCAGATTGCAGGCACCTCGGCCGGGATTCGAACCCGCCACATGGGGATCCGTAGGCCGGCACTCTCGCCTCGGAGCCACCGAGGCGGCTTCGTCGTGTGACTGAATGTGACGTAGGTGCACTGGCTTTGGTTTGACTACGATCATGTGATCATAGTTATGGTCACGTGATATCGTAGATAATAGGTCACGTGATTTAGAGGATTCCGTTCATGGCTACGAGCGACTTCACACACATGCAGGGAGGGTGAAGAGACAAGGGAAGGGGGTTGCGTGGTCTCTAGGTCAACGCAATTTATTCTGCATCCCTGTAGCCCGCATACACGTCAGCAGGATACCTGCCCCTAATTGTCTTGACCAGACAGGATGGCAGGGGCCGCCTATTCTTCTTTCCCAAGCGGCTCCACAGCCACAGGGCACACTGCCTGTAGGCTGCAAATCTGTAGTGCCTGGAACAATGACAGAGATTGGATGTAAGAAGCAAAGCCTATCACTCTGTTGGCAAATTCTACACTTGTTTTCATTTCTCTAGGCATGTAATCATACTCTGCTTTTCTGTTACGTCTACTCCAGCTATCACATAGCAGAATCCCTATTTGGCAGTCCATGTCGGATGGGCTAGACATGGAAGCCAAATTGAAGTGAACTGCTGTAGATTCATTCTAAATGCTCCAGAGTTTAAAAAAAAACAAAAAAACTACAGGCCTTGGTTCTCCTAACGCACCTCCAACTCCAATCGACACAACAACCAGTTATACAACGGAATTAACAAGGAAGGAATATCTGTTGCGTGGTCATGATACATAAAATAAGTTCACAGGGTCCCAGTTCATAATTGTAGATAATATCTGTCATTGGTGTTGGTGACGAATATTGCGTCGCTGTGTTTTGGGAAGGACACATGAAAATTATGTGCACTGGCCAGAGGGAATGGGAGCCATTCATCCAGAACAGTGGAAAGCTCCCCATATGATGTTGTTTAATTTGGGACAAAACAGTGCAGTTCGTAAGCCTGTGAAGTAGTGGTGTGCAAATATTGGTTCGAATTAAATAGTGCACTGTCGTTTCTAGCATCAACAGCGCAAAAAGAGCCGGTTGCATCGGCTTCCCTTTGCAGCGCGAAGGTTATGGCAAACATACTATTCAATTTGAACCAATATTCGCACACACCTACTGCAAAGGTTTCCTGCACACAAGTGCCAGGGAATGTGAACTCATCAGAGAACGTCCCAATTTAACATTGTCTAAAGTGCTGCTGGCACTGCCGAAGCTTGGCATTGGTACTGGTGATTAGGGATTTGAGAATAGCAGCCTGGCCATGAGTGTTCTATGAAGCTCGCACAGAACAGTTTTGGTGTAAACATACGAGCTGAAGTGCTCATGCAATACTGGAGTGGCCCCAGCAGTTGTGATTTCATGTCTCTCCGACACAATCCGTGTCAATATCCGAACATGTCATTCTGACAGCTTCCATTTGCCATGACAGCTGCTACCACCCCCATGTGTTTATTGGTCCTGAATACCTTAGGGCTCAGGGCACCGCAATCATTTGCTATTTGGTCATATACGCATCTGCAAGACACATATATCAACATTTTTTCCCGTTTTAGACTGCGATATGTCTTCCATTATGCTGTGTTGATTTAGAGGTGACACTACTATCATCAGAGTAGTGGGGATACATATGAGCACCCCCAGGCCTCCCCATTCTTGCACGAGAAACTTTGAATTTCAGTGTTTATTTCAATGAATAGTGTTGTTAGAAAAATATTTTAACGAAAAATGATGCGATACTGTTTGGTGACCTATTCCAATCTCGAATCCTTTCTGTCATACTCACCCATGTGGGCACTGCAACATCATCTGTTAAAAAAAAAGCATGGATCTCGACGACGACAGCCTGCTTCTGAATAAGCTGTCCAGATATGGCACTCCTAAAAAACTATCCCAGCATAGCGTGCAAAGAATGCCACACCAGCGGTGCAAGTGTTGCTGGCACCACAAGGAACATGTCGAGATGATCATCCACCGGCTTCAGGGTGTCTGGCATCTGCATCCAAAAATAGTGTAAATCAAGACCCAGACACCCAATAATTATCACCCCACCTTGAGATTTTGGCTTTTCAACTAGATCAGGGGATTAAGGGATCGAAGCTAGGAAGGATTGGAGGGCAGGACGCCTTGACATGTCTCTGACTGGGGTGTTTACTGCCCTATATACCTCCCATGGACCAAAAGCCGTCCAAAGTGGCAACAAAATATGTTACGGGAGCCAAAGTGTCATGCTGTCAGATGCCGGCAAAGTTACGACAGAGAAAACGAGCAGATGCAAGTGTGGCTGTTGTCGTGGCGTCCCCCCTTGTGACAATCAAGTGAGCACAAACTATTGTGCAGCTCTTGGCACAGCAAATTAGGCAGCTGCCATACGCACATGGACTCTTCTGGCACCGCCAAAATTCTTGACGTGGCAGATTTTTATAAAAAAAGTAAGCAAACGTAAAACAACGCATTGCAAGCGTCCCGGCTGGTGCCTTTGTTGCAATGATGTTCACATGCACGTAAGGGCAACTTCGGCAGGCTTGCAGTTACACGTGCTTCGTCGCGCGGGCGGAGACAACGGCTGTTTGACCGAAACCGAAACCATGCCACTCCGCGCTCCGTCGCCAACTGCATGGTTCCCAAAATAGTATGCAAAATGTAACTGTTCAGCATACGACAATAAACAGTCCAGCGACTTGTGCTTGCCAGGCCGGCAGGCGAGGTACAGGCTAAGCGCACAGAAAAAAAGAACCTGAGCGTATTGATGCAAGACACTGCGAATCAAGGTCAAAAAAGTTCTTGGAGCGCTTCGTGCAACGACTGAACTCGAGACAAACAAGCGCGCTGTGCGGGTTCAGCGTGCAGACATTGCCTTCTTTGCTTTAGCTCACTTCTCTTCACCAACTTTCTTTTGCGGCAGATTTTTCACGTACCGGGGTCCCTCTCGAAAGAAAGCCCACCAGGAAAAACCTAAGTAATCAAAACTTCGCCAAGCAGTCATTGAGTTAGAGAGGGATTTTTATAGCAGCGTATGATTTAAACAAGAGCAGGAATGTCGATGCGTTTCAGTTTAGTAAGCGCCATATCTGCAGCGACGTGGGGACGGCAACACACGACGTCGCGCGAGCGCTTCAGCTCAAAAAGTAACTCCCGCCGCGCAAAAACGTGGTTTTGTCTCACAGCATGACGGCATGTTTGGCACCCGATACACTAACGTCTGAGAGTCCGCACACGCCCGTGTCTACCGCTAAAAAAAAAAAAAAGACGCGAGACGAGATTCCTGAGACGACGAGTGCACGAAACGCGAGACGTCGGGAAAAATCATGCAAGACCAAATAGACGATTAATACAGGGTACTTTGTGTCGGGTGGCGTCTTGTGCGACCTAGCTTACGCATGCTCAATTACGGTTCTCAGTTTCGTTTCGTTTATGAAAGGCGACCAAAATTGCTTCTTTGGCGCAGGCTTGGCACGGATTAGCCATATTTCGGTGAAATGTAGCAGGATGTAGCAAAGTTAGCCCCTTGGTGCAGTTTGGCGCAATTGGCGCAGCAATCACATCCCTGCACTGTTTATAAGTGTGTCTCAGCCACGCCTGGACAGATGCCTCCGAGTCATCAATGTCCGCAAAGACATCCTCGCGTGGCTTTCTGAATACGGAGGGCATTATGCTCATTGACTGCATGTAACCGGCCACCACCATCAACATCGCCCCGTATGTGGCTACCCTCAGGTGATTGCGCAATTCACGAGAAGCTGCCAGGGAAAGGGGCAGCAGGTACGCTCTTGCAGCATGACAATGCCCATCCCTACATTCACCGTACTCCCTCAACCTAGCCCGGAGTGACCATCAGCCATTCAGCACCATGAAAAAACCACCTATGAGGACCCTATTTCATGGACACTGGTGAACTCGAAGCGGCTGTCCAGGCGTGGGTGCGAAGCACTCCCAAAGAGTGGTCCCGGAACGGAAAGGCTGCCACACTACTAGAACCAGTGCGTTCGTCTCCAGGGGGACTACGTTGAGGAGGTCGACACACCTACCGACCCCTAAGTGGACAATATCTGCGGAAAAATAAATCGTAAATCAGTATGGTACGCCCCCCATATGGCTGCACTGCCTTGACAATTATAATATGGGAAGGAGGAAATTTTTTATTTTTTTGAGTGCATGGCCTGCAGTGGCATAGCCAGAAATTTGTTTCAGGGGGGTGTTTTACATTGCTGGTGTGTGTGTGGGGGGGGGGGGGGGGAGGGGGAATACTTTGCATCGCTGGGCGAATGGAAGGTTTCTAGTTCGCATTGCCATTGCATTGTAAACGGTGCACGAACCAGAGCAATGAGCCTTCAATGACTGCCTTTTTGTGTAGTTTCTTGACCAAAAAGCTTGCAAACACCGTCTAAAGCCCCTTCTGACAATTTGGATACTGGAGTAAAGAATATGACTTTTGCCGATAGGGTTGGAATATAAGTCTCCACTTGCCTTCTAGAGGAAAGACGTAGTGGCATCCATGGACTCAACAGCAATCTGTGCCTATGTCATCGTTCTCAAGTTTTTGATTGTTTTGACCAGAGAACATTGCACTCGCTTGGGACACCCAAAAATTGAAAGGATGCATTATCGAAATGCCAAAAATAAAAAAAATGTTGAAAGAACAAACCGCCGAAATCTCTATTAGCCGAATCACCCGGTACCAGAGACCAAACAATTCCAAAATATTATGTTCAACACGAACCTACAGGGTTCTAGATTGAGAAAGTGGAAGAAACATTTGTTGAATATGATCTAATAGTTTGTGTGTATTTCCCAAAGAAAGCTAAGGATGTTGAGCTTGTCCCAGTTGCCCAAAGCGGCTGTCAGGCTCTCTTCTCGCATGCTTTGCTTCTTGTGTGGTAGATGGCGAGGTTCTAATCTGATTTCTGCCTCGATATCGTCTTCGAGCGCAGCTTGCACATTTTTCATGCTCCTAATTTTGCAGAAGACACTTCCATGATTCCAACACACTGGTGCAGCTAGCATCTGCCAGTACCGTACCAAATATGGCGATCAGATATGTACGCATTCTCACCTTTCGGCGTTTTGCTGTTGGGCATTTTATTTTTCGACGTTTCAATGTTTGGCCTTTACATTTTGATTTTCGTCATTTTGATATCGGCCCCTGTTTTGATGGGCTTGAAGGTCACACGCAGAGACTAGACCAGGTAAAAGGACGAGGATGTCTGAGCTGAAGGTGCCAACTGTACTGTCGACGTTGACAGTGCACTTGAAGCAGTTGGTGTTTGTTTCTTCTCAAAAAGATTGCCCAGCATCAACTTAGCTGGCATAGCTAAGCTCATTTTTAAGATAGCAACAAGGCATTGATGCATGCAAGATAAAGTAGGTGTATGCAGTTTTCTGAACTCTTAGCTCTGAGAAACAAAGTGACTGGAGCATCCTTCCCCAACACGGTTGCGAATTACTGCGTCAATATCATAATTTCGTGCTTATTTATTTGTTGCTTCAAAAGTGTTGTTCTGTAGTATAGTGCTGGTCCAGTCCATGAAGCTAGCAGGAAAGAATCTGGAAACAGTAATTCTTCGTTTTTCTGAACTTGGGAAAATGCAAAAGCTACGGCATCAGCAAGCCAATCGGGGCGTGTAAGAACAATGCATGTGACAACGTAATGTCTTAGTGTACTCCTCCTGTGGAATTTTGGCACGTGCTTAGCTCCGTCGCTCAGACTGGCCCACAAGGGCAGTAGCTTTCACCCTTTGTTGAGTTATGCTAAGACAGAAAAGCAAGGAAACTGCATGAGACGAATGCAATCTCGGGAGTGAGTTAATCTTCGCCTCTCGTTGACAAAGTAGGACTTTCAAGCCTTTGCGGCCACCTGCTCTCTGCGAGCTTGTAGAGGGGCTTCAGGCGCTAATTCGGCTCTGTTCAGAGACACCATTTGAGCAAGCTGCGAGCCAGACTTGGGTTTCTGACACGGACTGCGTTATCTTTGTCGTTTGCGCCAAAGCCAAACGTGTGGGATATCCACTGCTCTCTTGAGAGACAGAGAAAGAGAGAGAGAGGGAACCTTTATTAGTTACACCATAGTCCGGTGCTTGATTGGGGCCACCAGTGCTCACCCGGTACAGCATGGACATGCTGTACCAGTAGGAGCAGTAGTGTATCAACGAGTTGAAGCTGGGGGGGGGGGGGGGGGGGGTGAGCCTGCCTGCCTAGTCAGAGGGTCGAGAAGGGTGAAAAAGAGGGAGGTAAGGGAGCATTGGGCATGGGGACAACGCCAAAGCATATGTACATCCAAGGTGTCGCCTTCTATTGCTCTAGACGAGGCGAGGCCGTCTCGACAAGAGACGAGGCCATGTGACTGTCATATATTTCATAGTGCTATTGTTGCATAACATTGCATCTAAACAGAGCAAGAAAATGACATATCTAAACTGATAACCGCAAATGCAAGGAAAAATAGCTCTCCATGATCTGGCCTAACGGGAAGAAGTGTAACGCTCGAAAAGGGCAGTCTCATCAGAACAGTTCGTTTAGAACATATAAGAATATGTGTAGTTTATAGTGGGACAGCAGTTGGAAGTGTCCGTGTGTCTGTATTGAACAAATGACTGGGTGGTAACTAGGCAGGCTGCTTCTCATTTAGTCTCTTGAAAGCCTCCCTGGAGCGCTATATTGCGCCTGGACAGTGGGGGTTATAATTAATTTCACTATCGGCAACACAAACAATTCATCGACCGCTTCCCAGGATGGTGCTAAACGTTCATCTAGCCTAACAACAAGTTATTACAAGTACGTATGTACGCTGTGAATCGGACAGTGAACGTAGTTGCCGAGGGCACGGTCCTCACCGAGACATGGTGAGTTTGCTCACGCGCAAAGCATGACATCGTACTCACTCGCTGGCACTTGCGCCCATCCCTTGCTGCCCGTAGTGCCGCATGTTGAGGTAGGCCAACCTCAACACCTCAGGGTTGAGGCACAGGGCCTCGAAGTCCGGGTGGCCCGTTACGCAGCCCTGCCGGCCCTGCTGCTTCCGTGCGACGGCCGGGTATTCGCGGCAGCAGACGCACTCGACGACGGTCTCCATCGGCGCGCAGGAACCACATAGACACCTTCGCAGAAAACACGCATCAATTATCCATTAAAGCGGGGTATAATGGAGCGCACCACGTACCAGTCCGTGTTCCCAAGCCGCCCGATTCCATCATCGGGTGCGTCTTCCAGCTCTTGCGGACTCGCTTCACCGCGGCGCGGCCGTTCGTCGTTGCCACAGTCGGTGCCCGCGGCGCTGCGTTCGTCGACGTCGCGCATCGGGGTCGAATCATAGGATATGGCACCCATGTCAGCTCTCCGTTCCAGGATTTCGAGCTCTAGAGACGTTAGGTCCGAAAGGTCCATAGCGCGACCGTGGGATGCGACGAACGACGAATGCTGAGCACAAAGTCCGGGCAACTTTGGTCCGGGCCCCTTGACGACGGTCCGCGCGTTGGAGAGATTCCTCCGCGGGTCGGCGGTCGGTGACGCGTAGTGACACTGGAATCCTTCGATTGCCATTGGCTGATGCGTAAAGAGATGCCCCTCCCGTTTTCCGGGGTCATCTCAGAAAGGGGGGCCTGCCGGGGACTTTGATAGCAATTTTAATAGGGAAATCCGCCGCGCATGAATGTAATTTTACGATTTTTAGGATCCTTAGGACCCATAGATTGAGTTACCGCCATATATAGACCATCGCAGAACGCTCCGGAGGGCCCCTTTAATGGCACCCGGCAACAGCGACTTCCTGTGATTTTTGTACGGCGTGTGGGGCACCGTGCAATCAAACGCGTCGTTGCGTAGGTGTAAATGAACGCCATTTGCGAGTATTTAGTGCGTGGATTGTAAACAGGTTAAAAGATATATATTTCAGGCGTCTGGGATGACTTGTACCAAATCTAAAAGACACGGGGCGCTTTCCAATTCACAAACTGAAGTTTGCTAATTAGTCTTAATCGACCGAATAATTGGGCAGATCGAGAAAAATGCGGCAACTATGTTAAGACGCTTGCTAACGACGTGCAGTTGGTTTTACTTCCCTGGAGGACTCCGTTTGCTTTGTTTTAAAGTTTGATGCAAGTAATCTGGGAAACCCTGTACACATTGTCTCGATGTTCCCTAAAAAGCTAAGGGTTTTTAAAAATCCCCTCTCCCCAAAGAAGTTAATTTTAATCTCTCGGAACTGTTTTCAGCTACGGCCCGCCGCGGACCAAAAATACTGCTCAAACAAACGAGAAATCGCATAATTTTAAGAGATTGTAGCAGGCGGGTAAGTTTTAGTTGTCGATTGCGTGCGCGAACTTCGCAGTTTACTCCCACCAGGGCGTCCAAAACGGTTCCCCGATCGGCGCATTTACCGCGTCCAAAGAAAAATGGTCCCTCGATTTCCGCCCGATGGCATCGCAGAAGGGCGCTGTTCCAGCGGCGGTGTGTTCATTGCCACTTCAAGACCACTTTCGGTGCGCGGGCGTAGCTTACTCCGCTTTTGGCGGGGCTCTCTTGCAGAGACGTAGCGCACGACAACATTCGTGCCGTCGAGGCGCAAGATGCGTGCAGAGTCTTTCCGGCAGTTTCATTGTGAAGCAGTATGCAATGCATTCTGTGTTAAGTCTGCCTTTGGCACAACAATGCAAAAAGAGCTTGTTTTGTGTGTTTATTTGGTATTGATTTGCCTAACTGCAGAAATTGCTAGAGTTCTTTTTTTGAAGGTGCGGAATGCTTTTCAACGGAGCTCCATCAGTCGGAAGATTTCGCCCATCCATCTGCCCGTCGGTGCATTTCCCGCCAGGTTTAGCGGTAAAATTAATAAATGCATAGCTTCTTTCCGAGACGACCGTTAAGTGTCTTCTAAGCAAATTTAGAGGACCACGCGGCCCCTCATTCCGCGGCTGTCATTTGCGCGGGTGGTGAGGGAGATACTGCAAGGTTTGGCCCCCAGTCGCTCCGACCGCTACATGCAGAGGCTCGCCTTGCCGGTGCTACAGGTAAGCCTGCCTCGTCTTTTGGTCGCCGTCGTGGCGCCCCGTCGACGTTGGCCCACATGCCGTAAAGTCCTGAGAGATAGCCCACCTAAAATAGTTAGAAAATTGGGTGGAAATGAGGGGTGGGCTAGCTTTTGGTGTGCAGTTGGGGCAAGTTGAATAAATGCTATTTTTTGATTGTGTGTCCCTGTCAAAGTTGTTATCGCGGCAAGGGGCAATGAAGCAAAGACGACTAATCCAATCAGCAGTGTTGGCTTATGTCTCGCCATAGCTAACTAGACGCATTTACGCCACGGTCATCATTGATCCGAAACTACGATTACTAGGAGGGGGCCATCTTTCGGTGTTTCAAATGAAATAGCACCTCGAGCCAGAAATGGGGGTGGGTTACCTTTCTCGGGTGGGACATCTCTTCGGATTTTACGGTAGTCCTTTTTTCGTCAATACATGCCTATTCAGTCGTAGGCCAGGTAGGCCTGTGACTGAATCAACCTACGTGGCCTATTTAGTCGATACCACTGCTAGCCTTGGGTCTTCGGCATACTTCGCTTGGCGAAACACGACCGCACGCCGGTAGGATGCTCGTCCAGATCGAAACGGGCAGGAGAGGGGAGGATCACAAGACCCAGGAACCTTGGGTCTTGCTGTGCGAGCTTGTGCTCTACGCTCTCCGAGCCACCGTGCACTAACAGACCCGACCGCCAGTCCTCCATTACGTGAAAGAGCAGCGTCTCCCCTTTCAAGAGGCGGTGCAACGATTTTCTAACTTTGGCCAATTAATTGTGGGAATTAGTCGAGACCAACCATAATATGAGGAGCGGGAACTCTTTCTTTCTTGTGTGCGCTAGTTTTTAATCTACAAAGAGATTGAACAAGTAGAAGTGTTTCGAGTGAGTTTCGGTGTCGTCTTTGGGACCAGCAGCCTTCCCTGCCCGTTGGTCGACTTTTCAAGGCCACACTTGCCATCGTCGAGGTATCGAGGTGGGACGGCTTGCCGCGGGGGAAGACGTTGAAGGTAGCGAAGGAGAGGAAACGGTTTCCTTTATTTCCGATAGATGGATAGATGGCGCCGCGAAAAAGGTCACGCCATAGTTCCGATGACAACCACACAAGACTGCAAATTAAAAAAAAAAAAAATATGGTTTTGTTTTTTGCAATTGCAGTAGAAGATCGATGATATGAATCTCGAGGGATCGCAGGAGATATTTGTATCGTCCATAATTCATACTAACAAAAAATCAAGTCACATGACTATGTGAAACCAAAGGGGGGGCTACTTCCAATTCATTGGTCACACTCCCATCGAAAGAAGTCGATAATGTTCTTCTGAGCCTTCTTTTTCCGATGTCACCCAAAAGGCACTTTTGGAGCACGGAAGAACGAGCGTACCTGTCATTGCTGACCTTGATCTCGGGCTCACTATGCGGCACAGCACATCGAGAGCATGCAGTGTTTCAGCAGTCGTCGGTGGCTGCTTGTCATTAGTTTACGTCGCCGTCATCATCTCCGCTACTTCACCGTCCTTGCAATGCTGTCACTTCCTCAACGATTGCCTCGGCAGTCCTTAATCCGCAAGTAGCGAGGCTGTCATCTGCGGTAACGAAATCGAAGGCCGATTTCTCAGCATAAAGCGCAGGTCTCGGTCGTCAATTCTCAAGTTTTCGTCTGGTTCCGGAGGAGCAGCCACTGTAGGATTTGTGAATTCACACTTGCGGAAGCCGTTACATAAGGGTTGATTCCACAATCAACGTCAATTCCAAACGTCATTTCTCACGTTTACTCAAGTCAGTCAGAGTTGCTGAAACTCATTTATCGCGTGACAATAAATATAAAGCAGCAACCCTTGAGTGAGCAAACGCGAGTTACTCCAGCGAGCCAAATTCTCATCACGCGACAACACAGAGCAGCGGTGGACGTGGGTGTGTTTTCGAATTTTGGAACGCACCTACGGTTATCGGGATTGCATGGTGCGTACATAGAAAGAACGGCGAGAGAAATGACTCAAAAAGCGTGCTACAGTCGTAGGAGTCAAGTGATGCCGTCCCGCAGGATGTGTAAAGGTTGTTGATGATCGTTCACATGATCCTCCGCGGCCGAGAAAGCATTCGGACTATCCCGAAACGTAATAGATTAGTCTTAACGAACTTCTGCCGGGAATTTCGAAAAATCGTATCTTACCGAAATTCGGACGAACCGTCGTCGTATCATCGAGATTCTACCGTATGCAGCAAATTTGCAGCATTCTGAACGAAGGTGGCACATTTTCTCCTCTTTTGCCAATAGAAACGATATAAAAAATGTGAGCCGTAAATTTTTCGACATTAAAATTGTGGGCCTGTCCCAGTTCTAACGCATCGCCTCGATTCGTTGGCGTTTGACGGGCGTCACCTCTTTTCCAGGACGCGTCGGAGCAGTTCGTGACTAACTTCCTGTCTGCGAGTTACCTGTGTTCCCTCCACGCCAAGAGACAGACCCTGAGGAGGGAGGACATGATTTTCCTCCAAAACCTCCTCAAGACCTTTGGCGGGAGCCTCGCCCCGGCCTTCTGAAGCCGCCCGGTTCCTTCATACGCCGACAGTGCTGTGTACATAGCGTAATCTTTTTTTTGGGTCAGTTCCTCCCGTTATTGTGTTATTTTTATATATTGCCGCGCGCGCAGCTGGCCAAGTAGGCAGCGTGCGCGTGGCATAACGGTGTTATTTTTATATATTGCCGCGCGCGCAGCTGGCCAAGTAGGCAGCGTGCGCGTGGCATAACGGTTATCGCGCTTGCCTTCCACGCAGAAGGCCAGGGTTGGATTCCTGGCCGCGGCTACACATTTTTGTTGACACTGTAATGTGATGTTCTGGTGAATTCGAGAACTGTCTTGCTGATTCGAGGTTAGAATGTTCTACGCGCCGAACCTTCTTCGCCGAACGATCCAGAAACCCACGAGGGTACATAAGGGATTCCGCAAGGCGAGCGGAGTCAGTTTCGCCCCAACACTCGACTCTGCTGTCTCGCCGACTTCGACGCGACGCTTTATTACTATTTTCTATTCCCTTTTTGTTTTGGGCACAAGTTCGCCACATTAAACGTTTATTTCTTCCTGTTGATTTATTGTTATTCTGGTCACCACCCGTGACATTCTGGTGGATGTCTGGGGTACCGCATGTTCGTGCAGCGCACCCCTCCGAGTTCCCGCAGTACGAGTCCGAACCCAAGCTCCCGAGTACCCAACGAAGACACCACCGAGACCTGAGTAAGTCGCCACATCCAGTTCCTAGACCTGGAATACGGACTGCTGCCAACCAAGACCAAGCAAACCAGAAGGACGACG